TCTTAATGTTTTTATTTTTTATTCTTTTACCAATATTTCTCTAGCAATATTTTTTTTAGTTTTTAATGATATGTCATCGATTTTATTTTTTTCACAAATTTTGTTTAGTGTTTTATAAAAAAAAAAAAGTTAAACATTGAAATAAAATTATTATGATGATTATTATTACAACATTTTTAGTATATTTAATAAACTATTATTATGATTGTTTCGCACTTATATTAAAATTATTCTTTAAATAAATTTAATTTATACTTTGTAAATAATTTTAATTATATATATATAATATTATATTCAAATTTATTTTAAATTAGAACATTTTTGGTAAACTTCTACTTTTAAGATAAAGATATTATATTTGTTTTTTGTTATATTTATATATAGATATATATATATATTTAATATAAACCATTGTTGTGTTTTAGTTTTTTATTTTTTGGGCTAATTATTAATTAAAATGCTAGCTATATAATGATTTTTTAAAAATAACAAGATTTTAATAAAATTTATTTTTAATACCAAAAACATATAAAATTAATATTTTTAATAGGAAAAATGCAAATAATTTTAGCATGAATACTTATAAGCTAATCACTGTTGATTTTAAATGTAAAAAAATTTTATATTTTTATTATAATGATTTATTTAATAAATTTAAAAAATGTAAATATATAAATATATTAAGCAATTTTTTAATTATAATTTTCTCTCATTTAAAAAAAAATATTATGCATAATTTATATATTATATTTTTATTTTATTTATAATATTTTTATCATTATTTTATATTTTTTTATCATTATTTAAACTTAGAAAATTATATAATAATTTAATTTTTTTGTATATATAATTTAATTTAGAATTATTACTTATATGAATGTAAAATTAATTAATAATTATTTTATTATAACTTTATAATAAATTTATTTTATAATTTTTTATTCCGGATATATATCTATTATAATTTATAAAATTACATAAATAATTATAAAAATAAATCTTATAATATCTTTATTACTAAGAAATATTCATATAATTTTTTTTAATAAATATTATTTGCTTATTTTTTAGAACCTGCTATTTATTATTTAATTTAATAAAAGTCGTTTAAATATTGAAATATAAAAATATAAAATTTAAAAAGTAAAGCCAAAAGAGAAATGCATATTTAAATAAAATTATATCAATTTTAGTATTTTTTTTTCTTATTTGAAATGGAACACACACATAAATTTAGACATAATGATTAGAAAAGAATTTATTTGATAAATTTAAAATAATTTAGAAATATAACCTAAAAGAATATTTTAATATGTATAACCTCAAAAAAGCAAATCAATTAGATTAACTATTGATTACACATACCTTAACAAAAATATACCTCATTAATTAAAAAATTATATTTATATTTTAAAAACTTTTAAAAGTAAATCTAATTTTAGAAAATAAATAATTCCCAAAAATAGAAATAGCAGATTATGGTATTTAGATTTACAATGTATAATTATTTAAATTGTTGTTTTTTCTAGAGGTATTACTGAATTTGATTTACATATTTAATTTATAACTAAAAATACAAATTAGGTAGAGATTTAGCAAACGTTATGGCTTGTTCTCACAATCAAATACACATAATTGAGAATTTTATTGAAGTTACTGTCCATGAATTTTTACAAAATTTAGGATTTGGATTTAGTGGATTTTAAATGTAACTTTGGATAAACCATAGGACAGGACAATATTATGGAAAAATATATAAAGTAGCAAAAAAAATTTACGGAAGTATAACAATAGTTTTCTTAAAAAATGTACTTTTAACTGCTAGGAAACATTATAATGCTAGTGATGTAATTACGGATGCTTAATTATCAGTTCATACTATTGCTTTATTAAGAGATACTGGTTATTTTGCTGAAGTAAATGAAAATATGGTGGGGTAAAGGAAAAGGATGCTATAGTAAACAATAATTTAATGAGTTCCCATCAGAACATAAAATTTAATGTTCTTTCGAAAATGATGGATATGGTGAACCTACTACTACTCCTTTCTTAGATAATTGTATGATGAAAAGTATTTATGGCAATAAATTGTGTACTTCTATTAAATAAGGCTTTGTCTCAACAAGTATTAATGGAGTTAAATTTATAAACGATATATAAAAAAGATGTAATATGCTTTCGTGTTCTACTGATAAATCTTCGTTTTCTTAATTCTGTGATTATGTGTGCAAATCATTGTAGCTCTTTGGGTGTTTTTGTAAGAGCAGTCTATTTACGTTTACCTGGATGGAGGGGGGATGCATTGTTCTGTAAAATGTCCTTAAGTAGTATTATAGGAGTATGTGTAAATCAATGTCCTGGAAATCAAGTAATTATTTCAGATAAATCTTGTTAAAATTTGTGTCTTAATGGTTATTTTAGACATGGTCCAAAATAAATGCTTTAATGTCATATTTTAAATAAAATATTTAAAGGAGGAATAGCCTATGATTACATACTTTGTTAATTTCTGACAACTCTAAATTAATATGGTTAATAAAAGACAAAACTATAGAAATAAAACATCATTACTTTAATATACTTAATTAAATAAAATTTAAATGGTAAAAGTTAACATATAAATGATTTATGATGATTTTATTTTACATATTCAAATATATATTTTTATAATTAAATTAATTTATTTTAATAAAAAACATTTTTAATAAGTTAATAGTTATACATTTAATAAAAAAAAAATATTTTTATAATAAAAAGGTATTACAAAAATTAATAAATTTAAATGAGAATTATTATTTCTCTTAATATATTAAATTTTTGAAAATTGTATTAAGAAGAAAATCAAAAATTATATTACAGATTATTATATAAATAATTTATTATTAATAATATGTATATAAAAAATAAAAATATTCATTATTAAATAACATAAAAATTAAAATAATATTAATATAAAAATAAAAATTTAAATAAAATAAGTAATATTAATATTATTGTTAATGTTATAAATATATAAATTATATTTTATTTTTTCAAAAGAGTAATAAAAATAAATTTCTATATTTAATGTAAATAATAGTTATAATTAATTTTTAAAAATAATATAATATTTATAAATTATTTAATTATTATTTTTATTTTTATATATTTATTTATAAAGATATAAATATATTTTTTTTATATTTTAAAAAATTGTAATATATATGTATTTTTATTATTTAAAAATATAAAAATTAATATGAAGAGTAGTTACTAATAAAATAAATAATAAAAATTTATATATATATATATATATATATTTATAATTATTTTTTTTAAAATAATATATATATAAATTTCTTTTATATAATTATTTTTATTATTTCAATTATTTTTTATTAATCATTATATACTACCTATCAATTAAATATTGGAACACATTAACCGTTTCTATTTAGTTGTGTCAAAAATTAACAAGCTGTGCAATTATTAGCTGTTCCTCCATTACATCTTTTACATTATGCATCGCATTATTAGCATATATTACCATGTTTGTAATAACCATTAGGACAATTGGTTTAGCAACTTCTATCAGGACCAATTACTAAATTTTAAGGACATTAATTTACACATTGATTGTTAAATACTACTTAATTACATTTTACAGAGCAATCAATTCCCCCCCATCCAGGTAGACATAAACAAATTCCTCTTACACAAACACCCACTTAGCTACAATGATTTATACATATAGGAACTGAATCACAGAATTAAATAAATGAGGAAGGGCAAGCAATTTTACCAAAACTATCATTATTAGGAACAATTTGCATAACTGATCCTTCTTTAGTACAAATAACTTGTCTTTTAATTTAAGGAAAATTAATAGTAATAGATCTCAAATCAGGAGAACATTAATACTAATGACATCTTCTTTAACTATCATTTGTAAATTTAACTCCATTAGCACTTGTTGAGGTAAAGCATTTACTATTAAAGCCATAAACTTCTAATACATCATCAGCATCTTTATTTAAAAAATTATTTTTAAAAGAAGTACACAATTTACTGCCATAAATACTTTTCATCATACAATTATCTAAGAAAGGAGTAGTAGTAGGTTCACCATATCCATCATTTTCGAAAGAACATTAAATTTTACGTTCTGATGGGAACTCATTAAATTTTTGTTTACTATAGCATCCTTCCATTACAAATGAACATCCTTTTCCTTTACCCCAATAAAGGTTATCAGCCATGTTTTCATTTACTTCAGCAAAATAACCAGTATCTTTTAATAAAGCAATAGTATGAACTGATAATTAAGCATCCGTAATTACATCACTAGACATCATCATTTCATTTTAAACAAGTAGTTATTCCCAATGAGAACCTAAAGAACCAGCTCCTCCTTCATTTTCAAGTTACATACCTCCATAGTAGGACAATTATAATATTTCCTAGCAGTTAAAAGTATATTTTTGAGTAAACTATTGATGTTTTAACCTCTAATAATTACATCTCTTGTTATTTTAGGTATCCATATTATCCATAATATTTTCCTGTATCAGATCTATCCAAAGTTGCATTTAAATCCACTAAATCCTAG